TGCAGGAGGACCATTAGAAAGCAGAAGCCTGATGAAGGATTCCTATACCCCAGATGTTATCAAGAGAGCAGTCCGGGATCCCAAACACTGGCATGGAAGGAAAACTGATGACCTAGGTAAGCAATCCTGAGTTTTTCAGGCCACCAAAAAGCCAACTTCCATCTAATCTGTAATGTGAGATTAGTCATAATACCAGTCTGTTTTTACTGGATGATTGTAAGAATGACGAAGAAAATGCTAGTAGTAAACTCAGGAAGGAGAGCTATAGATAAATACTATCCCAATATAAACATCTGAATTTCACCCAGCTCACTGCTGTTACAGCTCATTATCACATGTCTAATCATATGACTGAAAACATATTTAAATCAACTTTTTGCAATCTGGTTCTCAGTTACTGGCAGCAATAATGACTCTGCCACTTACCGGTATGTGTTTTTGGCTAGTTTGCAAAAATGTTTTCCTATCCAAATGATACCACTTGACTTTTTGCTCTCTCAACTTTATTGGCCTTTACTAGAGATGGGCATGAAGCACTTCATGCCGGGTCATATTAAGTTATTGGCACAGCACCACAGGTGCTAAATATTCCTTTCCCCCCATCACTCCCCACCAGTTCACTCAGTCACCAGACAGACATTCTATCCCCATCATGTGATCTTCCAGTCCTGGCAGGAACACAGACTTCCCTTCTCTGCCTCCTCCAGCAGCTGCCCACTCACAGGCAGCACTGCAGGAATCCCTGCCCTGCCTCCTAGTCTGAGTAGGCAGCTGCTGGAGGAGGCGGAGAGGAAAGTGACAGGAAGATTGAGTGACTGGAAGGGCACAAGCAGTACATACCAGCTGGTGAGTGGGGAAGCCAGCCAGGGTGGTGGTGGAGAAAAGAAACCTGTGGTGCCATGTTAAAGACTTAAGACAAACTGGCACAAAATACTTTGTGCCCATTGTTTGAGGGAAATGGTTTGGAAGATCTGAACTTTTTTTCTAGTTCATTGAGGACTATTTTACCACAATGTGCAAATTTCTTCATTTTGGTAACACTGAGAACATGAAATTAAACAGCTCAAATGTAGGAGAAACTGAAACTCAAAAAGTCTTACTTAATCTCTTTCAAAGGCAACCCTATAATCCTGAAAATGGATAACTCTTATAAGTTTGTAGTAAATATACAAATGGCGGGGTGTTTATTTTTCTTTTCTTTTCTTTTCTTTTCTTAATGCTTTCTTCATAGGGAGATGGTTCCAGAAAAATGCCCTGAACCTTAATCTGCAAAAAGCTTTGGAGCAAAAATATGGGGAGAAGAACAAAGGTGGCAAATCCTAAGAAGGCATAAAAGCAGCATGTGAGCCCTCAGTGAAAAATATCTGTCTCTCCACAGCATTGGAATAAACCTCCATGCAGCCTCTGTTGTCGTGTGCTTATTTTGCACATTGATGAAAGAACCTGGCCTGCTCCTGAATTGGGAGGGGAAAATCTTGTCAGTTTCCCTTTCTTGAATGTTTTAATACAGTAGTTAATTCTGAGTATTTATGTGGAGACTGCAAATTTTGATAAATTTTTCAAAATTAAACAAAAGCAAAATTCTCACCATCAGTACTAGCCAAATCCCCCATAGACCCATGTATCTATGAGGGATTATGGGAGATTAGTGACAAGCACACACACACACCCGTGGATGTTGAAAAGCACAGGTTATAGTGAACAGTATTTTAGTAGCAAATACTATGCATAGTATGGTCCCTGGCTCCTTCTAGTGGCCAGTTCTGCTAACTTCATGTTTAGAAATATATATTTCTAGGATTTTTCTTTTCTTTTTTAAAAAATATTTTCAGACCATGGATAAGTGAATCAGTGGATACTGATCCTGTGGATATGGGGGTCCTACTATATAGCTCCCAGCATGGAGCAGAGATTCTGCTTCTTATCATTAAAGATGGGTTAAACATGACTTATGAGAAAAAGAAATGGCAATCCTAATTCAGCAGTAACTGGATTCACTAACGGGGATTCAAATCCAGTCATTTAAAAATTAAGCATTCAAAGTTCTGGACCTGCTTTACATTCAGATTTCTTTTTTTAAAAAGTTCATTTTCTTCCATACAGAATATAAAAACATTCATGAATTTTGGGAAATTTTAATCAAAAACAAATTGAAATTATATTCTTCTTCTTGGTCTCCATGAATGTGTTACTCTTCTGTGCTTGCGCAACATTCAGAACCTTCTAGAGCTGAAAATCAGGAGATTGTTAGCGGTCCCGCCCTTCCACATTGCTTGTTCCTACCTCTGAAAGTCACCCATCATTTCCTTTTTGCCACAGCTTTGGAAGCATTTAGGAGCTTTCTGGAGCTGCCACCCACCAGTGCATGCGTGTGTGCCTGCTTGCTTGCTTGCTTGCTTTGGCCTACCTTTCTCCTGGTCTTCATTTTTCCTGCATTGTGAGATTTTCTTCTTGTTGTAAATAACCAGACTATGAGTTTCATCTTTTTTTCTCTACCCCCCTCAGGGGGATTTTTCCCTCTCATTCCCCCAACTCGCCACTTTATGGCCTCTAGAAGCCCCTTTAAAATGTGCTATCATTGTGGAAAGATGTTGCCCCTCACAGACGGACAGTCACTTTACCTCTTGTGTCTGGACAAATAACACGAACCCCAGTCTTGTCAACACTGCTGTGTTTTCACAAAAGCCGTCCTTTGGCACTGATTAGATCACCTTGAGGCTCATCTTTGGGAAGCTTCCCTCAAAGCATTTCCAACGGAGTCCTCTTGGGACACACGAAAAGCTCCATCCCCACAACCCACTTTTTCCTCATGAGTCACCAAGCATTCCAGCCTGAAGCCTTCAAAACCTAAGGATTCAGCCCCGAAGTCATCAGGTTTGAAGATCCCAGATGCCCCTTCAAAATCTTCTAAGAAGAAGCAGCATTTTACTGACTCTGACCAAACTTTACTGAAGCCTCCACAGGAGCAGACTCTCCCAAAACCGACACCTCCTCAGGATGCAGTTCAACTACATGCAGGTCCATCCCAGACCATTATGGAGACTCTTCCATCTGACAAAGATGTATCTCCTCCAGAAATAATCCATCCCTCGCATTCAGCCAGTCTCTGGAGTGGACACAGTCTCACCCACTTACTCAACCTCAGCTGCCCCTTTCTCAGGCCTCTTCTGCATCACATCACTCAGTTCTTTGACAACCTGCATAGACCAAGCCTTATCTGGAGGGCTCGGCAGTTTGGGCTTCAACCCCGGATCCCTAGTTCATTTGAGCTCCAGAAATACTCAAATGGAACTTCTCCAGACATGACATTAACTTTGATTGCCTGTTGCTTATAGGTTCAGTTCAAAAGATAGTACTGTAGTTGCAGGTGCAAGTACAGTACTGCTGTGGAGAAATGTTGTGCAAGGAGAAATGTTGTGCAATGTTGTGTGTTGAAAGGGTGAGATTAGGGAGGCATACAACAGAAGTAGTGGTCAAAGGAGACAGAAAAGCATAGGACAGCACTCTCTCCCTGTTGGGTAGAGAATGTGCTAAGGTGGAGTGGTATTCCTGTACTCATTACAAATCCTCTATCCTTAGAATATTTCTCGATCAATCTATTCCTATTCAGTACCTTGGTGTCAACTACACGGACACTCTCCTCTTTCACTCTCATTACATTTTTTGCACTCTCCTCTTTCACTCTTGCACTACCTTAACAGTATTTTCCCTGCTGTCCACATGACACAGGGTTGAAACTGTCAACAAAGTCAAAGCGGGACAAAAATCTTGTTTTCCAGGGTTTTTACATCACCAGCTGCTGGTGGTATATATTTTTTATAGTATGGGGATATCGGCTGCTTCTCATTTCAGCTTTTTTCTTCTTCTTAAAGGTTTTGCATTCAGGTGCATAAGCAGTTATAATTTAATGTATTATAATTTTTTGCAATGTCGCAATTTCATTTCTCATGCAGAAATGGCTTGTATTGCTCTCTTCCTGGAACGATGGACCCTAACAATGTCTTCTAAAACAGTATAAAGCATCCTGGCTGTCAAAACAAGCCTCGATAATGCAAAAAGCTGATTTTAAAAAAGAGAATGATATGGGAAATATTGCCATGCAGCAAAATAAGTAGATAGGTAAAACATGAAGGGTTTGGAACAGTGAGTGGATTATTTTCTTTGCAGAGCTTCAAAATGTTGCTCTTTTGGGACTTCAGTTTTCCAAATCCCCCAGGTACTGGTCATGCTTGTGGACAAAGATTACAGGAATTATAGTCCAAAGAAGCAATGTTTCCAAACTTCACTTATTTGGTGCACTGTTAGTGTGAAACACTGATGAGATCTTTAAGCACCTTCCTCCTTTGAGTTGAATGAATTAAGAGAGTAGCTTTCTGAGTGTTCTCTAGAAACTCCTCAAGTCAGTGGAACAGGTGGGGCTGTTGAAACCTGCAGATTAATGATCAAGTGTTGTTGTTTTAATTTGCTTCCAAGTTGCTTTGGGCATATGGTGACCCCCCAATGGGTTTTTGAGGTATGTGAGATGTTCAAGGGGTCGTTTCCCACTGCCATCCTGCAGTGGGTTTGTATGGCCAGGCAGGGTTTTTAACTCATGTCGTCCAAAACCTAGTTTGACCCTCTATCCATTACATCACACTGGCTCTTAGATTATAAAGGGACATATTTAAAGCATTTACATTTCACACAGCTGGTCTCGCACAACATTGTGGAGCTAAACCCACTTTGTATTAATTCAGACTGCATTGGCTGGGTGAGGACAGAACTTTGAAAACTTAGCTTTGAAAAAGGCCAGCAGCCATGCTGGATGAAGATTTCAGGAGTTGTTATGGGTTTGTGGCTCAAGGACTGTTCTATCTTATGCATTTACCTTCTACCACAGCTGAAACAAGCACCTTTTCTGACTAAGTGTCCCAATCCCAAACATTCAATCTGTTGTTCTGAAAGCCTGAGCCAACTTCAATTAAACTGCTAGTTCTTTATTATTAACAATACTTATAAATTACATTTCATCATATTAAGACAAAAACAATTGAATCCAGTTCAATTAATACACACATACAGAGAGAATAAAAGACACTAATAACCATAATTCAGTAAAACTAGTATTAAGAATCAGTGCCCGGAAATACTCATACAAATAGCTATATTTGCACTAACTGACCTGCATCCTAGATGCTCACTGTATCTCTTTGTTTTAGCATGACAATCTCTTCCTGTCCTGCTTGTGTTTATGCAGAAGACATTTGACCACGTGCTCCAACAAACAGGGTGCTGGTTTGATCCAGCAGGGTCCTTCTATGAGCTTATATAGCAGGTGCAGGAAAAGAGTGGCCAGTGAGCCATACAAACCCCCAAAGCAGGTTTTGTGCCTTTCTCCCAGAACGCTTACACTGGAAAATTACTAATCTATTTATATATTTATTTGATTTATATACAACAATACAGCAATTTAAAAAATCGTACCAAAACAAGAGAACAAGAAAATAAAAATTAAAATATTGATATTAAAAGCATCCAGGAGACAGGCCTCTTGGAATAGTTCTCTGTTCAACAATTTCTTGCCTATTAGTAGGGTTTGACTCAGAAGAATATAAAGGGGGCAAATCACTTCCGCAGAAGCCTTTGGGGCATGCTTGGGCATTTGGAGGGAGCAACCCTATTTTGGGTCTAGATTAATTTTTTAACCATTTAAAAACAGAACAGATCAGGATTGGGTGAGGGCGCATGGGGGAGCTCAGGGGCCAAAATGGCATGGGCAAGTTGGCCATGGACCTCCAAGGTACAAAGGAAAGGGGCACTGTGACGTTTGTCCCTCGTGGCCCCTGTTTGTCTTCCAAACACAGAGCACACGAAGGCAAACCAAACACCTTTTCACATGCTGCCACCAGTTGATCACTAAATCAACATACTTTACGTATGAAAGATGAAGGTCCGTTCAGTTTTCACTTTTTCTTAAAACAAGTTTATTAATTATAGATGTTTCTTTAATAATTCATAAGTATTTACTTCAGGTTCATCAAGCATCAATCTTCTATTTAAATCTCACAGGTTACCATTCACTCCTCAGACTAATCACACCTCAGATTTCCCAACTACCTCTCTCTCCCTCTCTCTCTCTCTCTCTCTCCCTTCCTAACTCTGACTGAACTCTGCTCCTCCTTTCTCCTCTCAGGCTCTGCCTGTTTTACATCTCTGGTGGCCCCACCTCTCAACCACATCAGCATAGAATAATGCATAACCTATTCAGCATAATAAGGGTGAACGCCACAGGCACCTCCAATCCCTGGAACTTGCGTGCCCCTGTTCTAAAAAATAAGAAACAACAACAAAAAAAATACTGTATCCAGAGGAAGGCAGACAGTTAAAGTTCAGTAATGCCAAAGCCTGAACTCTCACTGGCAGCCGAAATGGCTAAACTGAGGCCATTGTACTTTGGACTCATCGGGACAAGCCAAAACTCACTGGAAAAAACAAAAATGCTGGGTAAAGGTAAAAGCATCAGGAAAAGAAGTAGAACTAAGATGAGATAGATTGACTCCATGAAAGAAGACATAGCTTTGGGTTTGTAAGACCCAAGCAAGACTGTTACTGACAGACTATGGGAATTGATTAATTCACCAAGCTGCTACACACTGGAAGTGATCTGATGGCACATAAAATAAATTGGACAAGAACTTGAGATTATAGTTCTCCAGGGTGATTCTACTGTCTCACACACCATCCATGCAAATACACACACCCCAACCATACCATACTTTCTCTCTCTCAAAAACACACACAGAGAAAGATTAACCAGCTCCCATCCTCTGTTGCTTATTATTGCTCAGCCAAGGGCAAAGATTTCTCAGTCACTCCTGCTGAGCTGACTGATGCTGAACTGAACTGCTGGATAGCTCAGTGGTTTCAGTCTCTGGCTGCAGAGCCCTAACGTGAGAGCTTGATTCCCCACTGTGCCTCCTTGACAAGGGCTGGACTCAATGATCCAGCTCTGTAATTCTATGATGATGATGATGAGCAGCAGCAGAGCTAGGGAGCATGTTTATCTCCCTTAACATGCCAGGGGTGGAAGGTGGGGTGGAGTTTAGACCTCAGATCTTAGCAAGAGTGATGGGGGCTCTGTAGCATGCTCCAGTCCTCACTAGGAAATTTTTCACCTTTTTGATTGGCTTCTGAAAGCTGACATCCCACCGTTCCCGCTCGACTCTTACAAGCTTCCTTGATTGGCTTGGAGCCAGGAAAGAAACAGTAGTCCCCCACCTGGCTTAAGAAAATTGGGCTATGGTTGTCTGGGTGGAAGATCAGGAAGTCCTTGTCATGCTTAGGCTCATCTATGGAGAAAGGAAGCCCTTCCTTTGATGAAAGCCCAGGGGGAGCAGGGAGGCCTGTAACATAGTCATCAAATATTTGGTGGGAGGCTGCTGAAAGAACAGCCAGGGATTGACTGTGAGCCATGAGTACAGTTTCAGGTTTCTTCTCAGGCATCTCCAGACTTGAAAGATCTTCTATTGTTTCGGGTGTACCAGTCGCCATACTGTCACAGGTAGATCTTCTTTCCTCTGAAGCCACTGCAGGTACCGGAAGTAAATAATCCATATCGCTGCTCATTGATAGGTGTTCAATAGCAATGTAGTTCAAACATCCATTCTGACAAGGGCTATTTGTGCCAGCAACATGTTGTACTTCCCGGCCATTGTTTCCTTCTTTCTCCAACTTGCTGCTTTGAGATCCTTTTTGCCTTGCAGAAGGTAATTGCTTCTCTTCCTCATACTCATGAATGGTAGAAAATGAGGAAGGCATCCCTTTCTCTTTCTCCACTGGTGGCTGCTGAGACTCCAAGCAATGAGGCAGTCCCACATTTTCCAGCCACATTGATATCCCCTTCCGTTGAGAAGAGGCAGCTTCTCTATCCTGACAAATATCAGATGGAAAAGATTCTGGTTGAGAAGAGAAGTTTGGCCCATCAGAACCAAAGATCTGAGCTTTAGGACTGCTGGCTGGTCTATTATCTGTAATAGTTTGTGCCAAAAATTGGCCCACTTTGCCAGCGCTTGGGATTTCTTTGTCCCCCTTCTGAGAGGAGATTGAAAACTGTTCTGTTTCCCCCAATTCATCTTGAAGAGACGCTGAATGAGTTGCCAGCGATTCTCTGCAGCAGAAAGAACAAGCAAAAAAGCAACGTGAGAGAAGCTACAAGATGAGTTTTGCCGTAAATCCAATCTGAAAATTTGTCCATCGGGATGGAATGCCTCTATTTCTGAGACTACAAATCCCATAAATCCCATGCCAAGAGTTTTACCTGATTTACACACACCTTACAAATACCTAAATGTGACTCATTTTGGAAACAAGGGCTATGATGAAAGGCTTTGAGACTTTGCTAGGCCTACTTCCACCTAAGCTTCCTGTTCCTGTCCTGGTGCTATTGAGAATTTTCTTTCTAAATAACCAGACTTAGTTTCCAGGATCAGATGAGATCAGGAACCTCCAAAGGGGCACAGTCAATGTGCTTCCTTTTCGTGATAGAGGGCTAGATGCTCTCTTCTATTTAAGCAGCCCCAACCAGACAGGCAGGCAGGCACAGACAGAGGATTATGGAAAGACTCGCAGAGATGCGGGGAAAATCTGCATGGATATAACTCTTTTTGACCTGCCAAATCTATAAGGGAATTGGAACCAAAGTCTGAACATGTTACTTTTTTTTTTATACAGCTCCCAGAATCTCCCAGTCGGTATAGCCAGTATAGGCGAAAGGATTCTGCAAGGTGTCACTCAAATAAAACCATCTTTTGAAGCTCTAACTGGAATATAGATGTATACTGAAACACACACTGTTTGGGATTTTGTGACTTGTCTTACAAATGAAAAATGTGGACAACAACGTGTAATAGGGCAAATGACACATGAGCACATGTTACAAGAGAGGAAAACATTTGCAGAGACTGTGTCTACTTGGAAAGGTGAAAGCTAAAATTAGGTATATTAAGGGAAATGCACACAACAATATCCTCTGCTCGCCAAATCAGAATCATGTACCTCATTTTAGTAGATTCATTCCCAGCTATGCAATTATAGAGCTGCAGCTTCCATTTATAGTCATATTTTAACAGTGCCTTACAATTAGCGAACAGTAGCATATCTCAGTTTTATGTACTTACCTGTTCAAGATCTTTGTATAACCAGTCCCTTCCAACTCTAAAATGCTGCTGTTGCTGTCACCCTCTGAGCCATCCAGCAATTCTACTTTCTGAAAGAGGAAAAGACAGATTCATTGTATATTACACCGAAAATCATATGGGGGAAAGCTGGAACAGAGTGCTGCTAATTATAATACAAATTAAACTGGACTACATGTAGATTTGTATTATTGGGGGGGGATTTTAGATTATATTTCCCAGAGTCATACACAGTTTAGTATTTGTAGTGTTATGAACTTCCATGGAATGCATGCCAAACAATACTTGTTTGAAGGTTACTATTGTGGAGTTTTGTTTACAACCTCGCATGCTGTCTGTAATTTTTAAAAATACAAATCCAGTCATCCTTGACCACTTGGCAGGTTGCCTGAGGAGTCTAAGAGTTGTAACTCAAGAACTTGTAGAGTCACCAGGTTGGCTTAGAAATTTCAGGAGACAAATGAAAAAGAAGGGGGTGGGTGGAGTGTTCCTAGCAAATATAAGTGGCCGAAGTCTGAAATTTGGAGGAATTGTGTGAGTTTGGCTGTTACGTTAATGTACTGTTACACTTAAATGTAATAACTTCATCTTAAACAGTTTCAATACTTGTCAGAACACGTCACCCACAAATTAGCTATCTGTCCCACCTGCTCCTTGCAGTCCTTGTTGTCGAATCTGTGACATTTAAAGAGGCCAAAAGAGCTAACACAAAAAACTGGGCTTTCTCAGTTGTAGCCCCTTCTCTCTTCCGAATGAGGTTTATCAGGTGCCATCTCTCTCAGTTTTTAGAAAATTAATAAAAACAGAATGTTATAAAGTTAGCTTTTACTACTTTTTAACTAGAGATGAGCATGAACTACCAAACCAGCAGTTCGTGTTGGTCTGTTTTTCACCTGAAGATGTTTGATGCTTCCCAGCCCTGCCACCTCCAGTGAGCACCCACTCAAAGGCAGTGCCCAGAGGAGGCAGGGCAGGGAAGCTGGGGCGCTGCCTCTGAGTGGGCACCGACCAGAGGAGGCAGGGCTGGGACTTGCCAAACAACTGTTCAGCTAAATAAAAACTGGCACAAATCTCTGTTTTTAAACATTGTCTTGAGATGTTCAAGTTCATGTTTAATTCTATTTAAATGCAGGTTTATTAGCTAGTGGCAGAGATTTTGTTGTATTTTATGGTATTTATAGTATGTTATAATTTTGTACTGTTTGATTATAATTATTTCTTGATGTGTTGTGAATGCCCAGAGAGTGTTTGCACTAATGGTACCATATAGAAGTTGAAATAATAAATACGTAATATAAGAAAGGTATATAATTTGTTTCTTTGATTTCTGGTTCAGATCAGATCAAGTTTAATATGGTCATAGACCAATATCCAAATGTACAAATCCTTTCACGGATTTTAACAGCAGCTGCAAGAAATTTCGTCACATTGTACCAGATATCTATACTGTGTCCAGACAGCAATAAAAGTGTGTAAAAAGCCTCAGATTTCTTGTTTAGTTTTGAAATCTCTTTACAGAATTAGTTAATATTTTACTACATGACCCAATTTTCCATTTATAAGATGCCCCTGTTTATAAGACCCCCGCACACACATACACACTTTTCTAACCCAAAATTAAGAAAGCTTTGAGTATTCAGCCTCTGGGCTCAGAACAGTGAAACATTAGGATTCCCTGTTGAACCTGAGCCTACAAGCTCCACCTCCAACTACGTGTGTTCCAATTGGTTTGTTTAGCACCAGCTGACATCAGTTCCATAAGGCCCGTGATTGGAGGAAGCTAAGTCACCTGATTGTAGGAAGCTAAGCCTCGTGACTGAATGAAACCTGTTTGCAGAGGCAAGCTATGGGTCGTTTTGTTCTCTCTTCAGCTTACTTCCATGTATAAGATGCCCCCCCAATTTTAGTGTAATGATTTTAGGAGAAAGTAGCATCTTATACACAGAAAAATGTGGTATGTTCTAAAAGGCAGCATTCACACAGATATATAAAAATATAGAGAAAAGTTATACAAATTAGAAATAGATGGTTTCATTAAGTCAGATAATTAAATGCCAAGGATGAAGAAGAGGACAGTTACTTAAAGTTAGGGGTGATGCAAGGCATTTTGTAGCTTGAGGCAGAAGAGCAAATGGCACACATGCATAAACATGCACCCCCACCCCTCAAGTCAAGGTACGCAGCGCCAAAAATCAATCAAGTTATTTTGGTGCCTGAGGCAGCAGATCCCACAAATGCCTCTCCTAGACTATAAAAATACAGTAAGTATAAAGTAAGTAACAAGCAATGTGCGGCCAATTCACAATGTTCCCAAACTCCTGTCTCAGGCAACCACATCTGCCCATCCCCAATGGCAGAGCCAGTTAAAGACTTCTACTGACATCATACACTTAGTGAATGAAGAGGGTAACTCTGGTTATTTATATCCAGTAGTTGTGCAAGATAAACATCGCAGGCAGTGTTTTCACATACGGAACCCGAAAGGCACATTTAGAGATGGCAGTATCCCCCTCTGAGGAAATGTCTCCCTTACCTGAAAAAAGTTTGGAAGCAAAAATGTTTTAGGAGGAGTTGGGATCCTTGCTTCCCATTCCTTTTTCTTCCTGCAGGGAAAATATGGAATTCAAACAATATTAATAGGTTAGAACACAAGGAGTCTTATCTGGCTTCACATTCTGCCACCCAACAGACCCCATGTCTACTTTTACAAAAATGACACATAAAAGCTTCAGGGAACAGCTTCTGAAAGGAAGCAACATCCATGTGGCATCTGTGATGTATAGATTAGCCTCTCCCTCATCTGACATGGTCCAGAGGTGTTAGACCCGGCACCTCTTAACAATACAGCCAGAGTGCTGGTACAGAGTGACTTCTGTCATCTCATTACTGCTGGCCATTCATGGCAACTGTGACTGTTTTTACATGCAGCACCTTTTTTGTAGGAGGCATTCCCACCTCCTCTGGTAGTTTCCACATGTCCTTTCAATGACTGTGGATGCTGAATAGGAAGCATACAACAATGTTTGAGATTTGGTTCACAATCAGATAAGTAATGATGATGGAAAATTCTGTGGCAATAAGATCAGCTCCTTCCTGCTATATCGTGTTTACATTTTATTGCATTGTGAATTGTCCAGAGTGACTACAGGTCAGAAAGGTGGTATACAAATTGAATAAATAATAATAGTTCCTTTCAATAACATGCAGGCTGGAGGGAATTTATTTGGGTCATTTGGAGGAAACTCCAAAAAGCTGCTTTCAAAAGATTATGTTTGACTTGTAGACTGAGATTGTTCAGCTTCATGATACAGGAAAGGAACACAGTCAACTCATAGACAGCTACCTCCCCATTCCCTAAAAGCCTCAATTGATAGAATAAGGGAGATTTTTCTGACTAACTTTTGCAACTTGGAAACAAAGAGAACACCAGGAAGGCATGTGTCATGTGGACAAATTCTACTGATCTCTCTATTTGGAGGTACATTCTGATTTCCTACTCACTCTCCCAGTGAGATGGTAAGAATGGAGGAGAACAAGATGCTGCTGTTATCTACAGCCGTTGATCGGAGACAACTGATTGGATATAATACTAGGATTCTACCTCACCCTATTGACCCTTCTAATTCAGAAGGTGAAGAGGCAGGGAAGATTCTCTTAGTTTGCACCTCGCTGCTCAGTGAGATGACAAGATTTACACAAAGGGGCTCTTGGCAGAGAGACACACAGAACCATGCCACTGTCTGAATGGGAACAACAGATATTAGGGAGAAGGATAATGATATCAAGAGGTGGGGTTTGAAATTGCCATCCCTTAGTATCATCCAAGCTTCCAAATTATCTTTTTTTTGGGGGGGGACAAGCAATCTAATTCCCAGGAACAAAATTGCACCCAATCCGTGTCTTAAAATCTCTCTTCCATCTATCTACAGCAGAAGGAGAGATGAGACAATAAGAATCGTTCCACCAGCTCAGCTGTGTGAGAGCATCTTCGCTTCACTCTTCCTCTCTGTATGTCTCCTTTCCAATGCTCCCCATTTAAATTATTCATTAGAAAAATTACTGCAGGGTGGGCAAAGTCTGGTTCATGGGCTAAATGTGGCCCCAGGACCCTCTGCATAGCCTCCCAGTTCTCTCTCGAATCCCAAAAACATTTCAGTCCTCAAAATGCAAAATTTACAGTACCTCAAATTTCACAATGCAGACACAATCTCCTACCCAAAGTGTGACCTTAAAAGTCACTTCCTTCAAAAAAACAAACAAAAAGCAATACTAATACTAATACTAATACTAACACTAACAACAACAACAACAACAACAACAACAGATGTGATAAGCAATTGTCTGATATTTCTGAGAGCTTGGGGTTTCAGGGGATTAAGAGTGTTGGAGAGGGTGAGGCCCTCCATGGTCCAGAAGATGTGGACAAAAATGGCCCCTAGGCCCTTTGAAGTTATTCAACCCTGCCATAGGACTTTAAGAACTGGTACTTAAGAGTGTATGAGACAGTTAAAGGACTTTGATTCCACTTTAACGGTCTTGGTCCCGTCCTATGGAAACCTGAGATTTGCAGTTTGGTGAGAGACCTGCTTGATTTTCCACTCCAGTTTATTTATTTAATTATTTTATTTAATTAATTTATATGCTGCCTACACTACCCAGAGGTCTCAGTTTAGGGGAATGCAGTAGAACTCCTAATTAAAAAAAATCTATGTGCTTCACCAAACCACAGATCTCAGGGTTCCATAGGATGGAGCAATGGCAATTCAAGTATTTGGCGGAACGCCTGCTCCCACCAAGGTCTACCCGGATCACCCGTGTGAGTCAGGAGGCGAGGCTGAGGAGCCTGACGCCGAGGGAGGCCTGGAAGGAAAAGACAGAAATCGGGCCTTCTCGGCGGTGGCTCCTCACCTTTGGAACAATTTACCTCCTGGGATTCGCGGCCTCGCTGGGCTGGGAATCTTTAAAACCCAATTCAAAACATGGTTATACATCCAGGCCTTCCCTCCAGTGAATACCTGATTTCTTTCTATTTTCCTTTATTTTTTTTCTTCTACTTTATTACAATTGTTATTGAACGACTATGCACATTCTTGAGTTTGTTTATCCTATATTGTAAGCCGCCTAGAGTGGACGAGTAGTCCAGATAGGCGAGGTATAAATCAAATAAATAATAAATAAAGTGTCATCAAACTATTGTAAATATGTAGTATAAATGTATAGGCGGGGTATAAATCAAATAAATAATAAAGTGTCATCAAACTATTGTAACTATGTAGTATAAATGTACTCTTGTTTTCATCACTCCTCACTCCTTTTGTTTCATGACTTATAGACTGTTGTAAGGATGTGTGGAGGGACCATTCTGCCTTCTGTGAACTTTGCTTAATATATTTTACATGCTGCTAAAGTAACAAATGGGGTGCCCATTGTGGTGTAGTGCACAAAGTGACAGAGTAGGACTTAGGAGACCTGGGTTCAAATCTCTGCTGATCCTTGAAAATTCACTGGGCTTGTGGAACTGGTAAAACCACTCCTTAAACCCTGAAAGCCCTATTAGGGGTTAATCAGTTCCAACCTGAAGGCACATATCAACAAAGTGACAAATAATAATCATACTCTGACTAAACAACATTTTCTGCTCAACATATAGCAGGTAAAGCCTCATTTCCCTTCTTTCTCCAAAGTCTCCATGTGTAAGCCACTAATCAGGATTGGGCCAAAGTAGATTTAGTTTAGATTAATGAAGAAAATCAAGGCTTAGCTGCAGGCTTCCAATTTAAGTTGAAGCACAGGAACATCCATCAACTTTATTTCTGCATATGAGCTATTTTAAAACTCAAGCTCTTTGCATCCTGTATTTGAAAACATTTCCAATTTTTCGTCAATTCCTCATTAAACAAATGAAATGAAATCCCACCCCATTTGCACTGAAAAAATTCAATAGGTGTAAGAGCTACTAAAGGCGCTGCTACAAATTCAGTAGCTCCCATCATGGAAAGCTCTATTTTGTATAATAGGACTCCTTTATCCATGGAAGATTGGTTCCATCCCACCCCTGCCCCCAAATGATGAAAGCCACAGATGATAGTTAAAAAAAAATCCAGAATAAAGTATTTTCACCATGCATTATCCGAACTGGCCACTAGAGGGAGTCAGAGACAACACAATGTAGTGCACCAACAGGAATACACATATTTGTGTCACAGCTTACCTCTGAAGGTATTCATGGCCACAGTACATGCCCACCATCATCAGAATGATAGAGATCACTGCTATCAGTGGAATAACCCAGGATAGAAAACCTAAAAGAAGACAGCAAGTCAAAACAGGAAAATAATGAAAGGTCAGCAAAAGCTCCTGGCACCTTGTGAGCTCTAAAGTCATTACACTCACTGGCCAAACCCAGAAAAGATGTAAGAAGTCTCAATGAAAGGAATTCTAGACTGCAAGCACTCGAATTTAAAAAAATCATAGCTCATTCAAAACACTAGAGCAGGCCCATTGAATCAAAGGGGATTTGGTGAGTCTCCTCCTCCGTATGTTCCATTGAATCAGATGAGCGTACTCTAACTACAATTCACTTTGGCATAATATACTGCAGTTAAAGTAAGCCCATTTGAAGCAATGGAACTTACAGAGGAGTTGACTCACCTCTTCCCCATTGATCGAACGCGGGCTTTTCTAGGGCAATTTACTGTTCCATGCAACAAGATTTTGACCACTGAATGGTAATGCAACCTGACAAACAGAACACAGCACAACCGTATTGCAAATCTAAAAAAATTCACTGACTCTTGGTATGTTTAAGCACAGTCCGAAGTGCTGCTTTTGACTTCTCAAGCGCTCTAGGCAGTAAGGAGAATCAAGCAAAGGTACAAAGGTCCAACATTTTTAAAAAATAAAAATAAAAAAAAATAAAAACAAAAACAAGCAATAGCAGCTGCTACAACATTATGTGCCAGAGAATTATTAGCTAGCCCAATATGCTTCCAAGGAGCAAGGGTGGGCATTTTGCAATAAAAATGGGAGATCCATTAAACAGAAGCAGCAATGCTAGGCAAGCTGGACATGGAAGGGAAGGAAAAAATGAGGAGAGAACAATTCTAAACAGCCTGCTGAAACAGGATTTGCATGCTCTCCTTGTGTGTGCTCTGCAGCAAGCAGGCAGGCTCCTGACACAAGGAAGAGGGTGCTGCAGCCAGAATGTTAGCTGATATTATGTCATCTAGGAGCACTTGAACTCAGGAGGCCTGGGTTTGAATCCCTGCTCAGCCATGGAAGCTCTCAGGGAGGGAGTGGAACTGGTAAAGACACTCTTTAAACATCTCACTTACCTTGAAAGCCCTATTAGGGTTGCTGTAAGTGGGTTCCAACTCACTCTTTAAACATCTCACTTACCTTGAAACATCTCACTTACCCTATTAGGGTTGCTGTAAGTGGGCTCCAACCTGACAGCACGTAACAACAATTGTGCCACCTGACTCAGAGCTTACTATCAGCAGTGCTAAGATGTTTTTTCCCTCTGGAGAGCCCAACAGGGCTGTGACACACTCATGGCTTACTTTTGTCTGTTGTCCAGTGAAATTCCATAGACCACTCACTCCATGGGCCCTCATAACTTCCATGCACTTTTGCCCGCACCCTTGCTGTGTAACTTGTGCCCAGTTCTAAAACGTTTGTGGTGAAGATGAACCATTGGTCCCCCTTGCTAACGTTGACATATTTGGCCTGAGGATGGAAAAGCACAACAAGCAAGCAGTGAGTGTGGATCCCAACCAGAGCTTGAAAATACAATAATGTTATCTTGCTATCTCTCTATCTGTCTCATTTTTATACTACCCGATTACTGTAAAGCACTACTCTGGGCAGTTAACAAATAAATGAAGTAGATACGAACTGTACATCAATAAAAGTAAATAATGAACAAAAAAATAAAAAGATAAGAACAAAACAAGTCAATAAAACAGCACAAAAGCAGCTCACCAAGATCAGACAGGCAGGACAGTTTTGGTAGATACCGTATTTGCCAGCGTATAAGATGACTGGGTGTATAAGACGACCCGAATATTTCCATTCAAAATATAGTTTGTTATATACTCGCCATATAAGACTACCCCTCCCTCTGCCTTTTACCCCCCTCACCCCATAGCGAGGCGTGCCACGGATTGGGGCCCAAGCGATGGTAGGGCTTACCTGAGGTGGTGTGGGGGTAAGAAGGTCTTAAAGGATGCGGCTAGGTGGCGGCAGAGCGGACCAACAGGGTGAGCCCGCTTTTCGTAAGATCCTCCACCCTCAGTCACAACAGCCGGAGATTCACCCAACGAGGGCTCGGAAGCTGGGAGGGGCGGACGCCGCGCCTGAGCAACCCCAGGAGGCTTGCGTTGGTTTCGGCGGCAGGCCCAGGAGTGGGGAGGAGCATCAGGGACACCCTTCCCGGATGACGCGGCCTGCATTTGCGGGCCAGCCTACCCACCTCTGGCCGTCTTCTCTCAGCAGGTGCAGGGGGAATCTGAAGACGGTAGTCGGACACCCCGGCAGCCTTGCCTTTCCCATCCGCGCTGGGGAGTCCCTGGCCGAGAACGGGGGGAGTTCCGTGCCTGTGTGGGCTGCCTGTCGGGGGTGCACAGATATACCCGCTCTGGGCTGTTGGGGTTTTCATCAGTTTGGATGGGGGAAGCCCCTGGATACCACGCAATACTGGACGGTATGTAGAATGAGGTGGGCAGGCATCGGGAGGCTACTATGGGCAACTACGCGTATCCTAACTGAAGTGCACCCAGCATATAAGATGTCCCCCCACTTGGAGGCATGTTTTTCAGGGCAAAAAAGTAGTCTTATACGCCAGCAAATACAGTACATTAAATGATGTCACTCTGAGCTTCTTTAAAAAGCACTGATTTAAGTAGCTTCTTGAAAGTAAAGAGGGAAGGGGTCAAGTGCAGCTCCACTGAGAATCCATTCGAAAGGGCTGGTGCCACTGCCGAAAAGGCACAATTTCTGATGGAAGCCTTTCTGGCCTCCCTCGGTGTGGCAACCCATAGGAGCATTAAATGCAAAAATCTGGTGGTGCGGGTCGATGTTCTTGGGGAAAGGTGCTCTGACAAGTAACAAAGGCCCAAATCACGAGGGGCTTTGTAAGTAAAGACCAAAACCTTCAACCTGGACCAGAACCTCACAGATAGCCAATGTAGTGAGCCAGGAATGGGGAAATGTGTTCAAATTTGGTCACACTCGACACCAGCCTAGTGGCCGCATTCTATATCTACTAAAGTCTCTGGGTCAATTTCAAGGGAAGACCCACACAAAAAGGATTACAGTTGTCAACCTTAGCAACCACCAGCTCATTAAACAATGTCTTCAGGGCACTCTCATCCAGGAAGTGGCAGAGCAATCAGCCTCAGTTGGTTGTAGGCCAACCTGGACAATGCTGCAGTCTGGGGATTCCATGAGAGAGCTGGGTCCAGGAACATGCCCAGTGGCAGTGCTCATGGCCAGGCAGTGCTCAAGCACCCAGACAGCATCAACTGCAGAGTAGGAAAGGAGTGACAGAGTTGTGTGTCATCAACACACTGATGGCAACACACTCCACCTCTCAAGATGACCTCTCCCAGTGGCTTTACATAGATGTTAAACAGCATTGGGAAGACTGACAACCCCTGGAGCATCCTACAATTGAGGGTCCAAGGGGATAAACATTTATCCCCAGCTGAGCACCAGCCCCCCGATACTGACACCCAACAGTCTGTCCAGGAGGATACAGTGGTTGATGGTATCAAAAGCCACTAAGAGATCCAGGAACACCAACAGAGACCATTCCTTCCAAATTTGGCTCCCCTAAAAGCTCATCTTGCAGCACAACCAATACTATGTCAGTACCATGCTTCAGCATGAATCTGGACTGAAATCGATCAAGGCAGTTCTCCTCCTCCAGGTTTGTCTGGAGCTGTTCCACTACCACCTGCCCATAGAGGGGATACTGTCTTGGACATAGAAGGGATAGTGTCAACAGGCCTAAAATTATTTAGGTTGTCCATTGTCAAATTCGACCGCTTCAGAATGGGCCATACACTCATGTTCTTCACATGTGGGGAGGGGAGATGACCTTCCATCAGTGAAGCATTTATAATATCAATGGCCCAGTCCATGGTAACCCCACTGGCTGCTTTTAAAAGCCGTTATGAGCAAGGGTCCAGTGGCAGGTCTACAGCGTATCAGCGTTCTGGACATTTCCAACAATGATACAGGTTGAAGCCAGACCAAACGAGCAGAGTGAGATGATGTATCAGGGATCTCAACCCAATCAACCAAACTGTCTGTGGAATCCCGATTCTGCCAGGAGATCTCAATTTTAGGTTTATAGAAGGCTGCAAATTGATCAATGGTGAAATCACCACCCTTTGCTGACCAGGATTTTGCATAGTACTACACAGACTTCCTTAACCAGCACTCATACAACCCCCTAAACCACTTAGGACCTGGATATTTGAAGGAGTGCCTATATAAAGCTGCTCAGTTACTAACATCTACTGGGGAGGCCCTCTGTTGTGTCCCACCACTGAGAACAGCTCGTTATCTGGATACATCTCCTTGGAATCCTACTTGGTGTCAACACTGGCATCATTTCAACACCATGTCACAACATACTTGTATACCAAAGTCTGCACAAGTTTTACAATGGTTTTACAATGCAAGGATCTTGGCCTGCAAAGCTTTTACAGTAGTTTTAATATTTTAATGTTATAATTCTTTTTTTTAATGTTTGATTTTAAATAGTTTTAAACATGTTTTAAAATTGTTTTATATGCCTCTGCAACTTGCCCTGAGATCCTGTGGCATAAGGCAGGCCATAAATGCTTGCAATAAATAAAATTGGCTGGGGGATTCTGGGATATGTAGTCCAGAAGAGCAACCTTTTCTAGATCTTGTTGAGTTATGTCTGACGTGACACTTTTCCAGCTCTGTGTTAGACATTATACATTCATTCACTGCAAAGCTACTGGTTTACTGCTTACCTCCAAAGGGCTTCCAGACTTCCAATATGAGATTTGATACATCTGTGGGATATGTAGGGTCTTTTTGGCCTGCCACTCCAATTTGTATGCCTGGCTGTTTAGCGTTGTCGCAGACAGTTTATAAGGTGGATTCACCTTGACTTTAAAAAAAGGACATGTCAGGAGCATGGATCCATCCATCAAGTTATTTTGGACTCTAGATCAGGGCAGGAGAACATTTGGTTCTCCAGATCCAGGTGCTTCTGCCATCATGCAGAGAATCACAGGTAACATGACATCACAATGTGTTGGCTTGGGGATCTGCACCAGTAGAACAGCTCCTTACCATTCCATGTATTTGTACTGGCTCATGAAACTACTAAGGAATGATTCTCTGGAAAGCTGAACTTCTACAAAACAGTCACTTTGTGATATTGTGCCCCTTGTCTTTTTCTACTCCTCCTTCTTCCATCACTCTCATACCTAATGCCCAGGTGGCTATTTATTTACTTTATGATTGTTAATCCCATTCTACTTCCATTATAGAATTAAAGGCAGTGTACAGGGGATGCCAGAGCAATCCCCCACCCGAAACCTGATCAGACCTGGATGTACTTAAGCTTTAGCAAAGTGGTTGTATCATACAGTTTCATCTTATATGCTTGTTTAGATGGAACCCCTCACCCCCTTTAGCTGAGTTTACATTGAGTATAACCTTGAAATCTCTCTGATCTCCACATTTGCTTCTTCTTGGCTATATACTACCCATATAAGCCAGGAAATCTGCAACATCAAGAATTCTAGATGCCTCCATTAGGAATGTGCAAATCTCTTGATCTCAATTTTGTTGCATTGCTTCGAATCCTACTTCCATTCTCCCCCATTGTTGTTTCACATCAGGTTATGGAAATTTTTTTCTTTTTGATTTTCCCCACCAAGCATACCTGTGAAGGTGGTGGAACCAAGAGAAAGTCCTCTCCTGATGACCTTAACACTCAAGCAGACTCATAAAGAGAGATGAGGTCCTTGAGATAACTTGGACCCAAGCCATTTAGGGCTTTACAGGTTAAAATCAACTATAGAATCAACTTGGAATTACACACTTTATCTAAATTATACCTTCATGCACACATTTACCTAATTTAAATATTTCTACCATTGATTACAATGTATTTGTGCATATTTTTAAAGAAAATTATTAACAGTTCAGCCATTCACATTTTAAAATAGATGCACTTTGTCCGCATTTTATTTCTCTGAATAAGCCTTGTAAATATGGAAATGTTTGAGTCAAGATCCGCTTCTTTTCAAAGACTTCAGGAACTGCAAAAACTGGCCAGTCCATTAATATTATTTTCCATGCTGGTTCTAGAGAGCGCTTTTGCTTATTTTGCTTACTTTGCTTTGCTGCTTCCACCACTTTTTCCTCCTGTTTTGGTCGTACAGTTACCAGGTACTGGCTTTGTCTTTGGGGGTTGGTGACATTGATCTCACAGCTTTGCAACACGTGTTCAGGGCTGCTGCCCAGATGGGAGAGAGAGATTTTCTTTTCATGGACTGGGAAGCATTCTTCTTCTTCTCTGAGGAATGAGAAGAAGGACAACAGGAGGTCATTAAAGGAAAAGGAAAGGCTCCCCAAATTTGAGGTCTCCTGGTTTTGAAAGAAATGTCCTTACTTTGATTCTGGATTGTCTTTGTAGAAGAGGGCAAACAAAACAGAACTGGTGACCTCTTTCCTCACCTCCCAGCTGCATTTTAGCCTATCAATGCCATTAAATCGACAGTGAAGGTTTTTCGGCTGAGCTTCAATTTCACCTAATGGGGAAAAGCAAAAACAATCATGGTTTGGGGCATGCCGAGCTTGACAAAAACAGAGAGAGACTGAGAGAGAGAGAGAAAGGGAGAATTTCGTGATGAGTGCTGCTCAAAAGTGATGATCAGCATTTAATAAGCATTGATCTTACTAAAAAAACCTTGATGTATGTAGTACAGTGTAATCCAGATACTGTACAGTACAGTGATGCCTTGCTAGACGACGACCTCACAAAATGACGAATCCGCATGATGATGAGGTTTTGTGATCGCTATAGCGATTCGCAAAACAGTGATTCCAATGGGCGATTTTCGCTGGACGATGTTTTGGGTGAACTCATCACTCCAAAAAGCAAGTTAATTTGCAATATGTATAACTGAAAGTGTGAAGGCAAGAGGAGAAGGGGACGACAGAGGGTGAGATGGCGGGACAGTGTCATTGAAGCTATCAACATGAATTTGACCAAACTCCGGGAGGCAGTGGAAGACAGGAGGGCCTGGCATGCTCTGGTCCATGGGATCACGAAGAGTCGGACATGACTTAACGATTAAACAACAACAACAAGTGAATAAATCTTGTGCTAAGACAAATATATGTCTTTGACCTCTTGAGGGAGCTCCATTTCTATTGATGTGCCAACTATATTGTCTATTTTGACCCTGCAGTATAGATGCGGGAGCATTTATTCAACAGGCTACAAGCTATACCACATCTTGGAGCTCGATTTGATCGGACCTGACCAGACCACTGTGTAGGTTTTTCAGCATTTCAGACCACACATTGGAGCACTCAGACTCCCAGATTTTATCTTACCTTTGCCAATATTGACACAAGTCACTAGCTCTTTGTGGGATTACCTGACTGTGTATTCCAGGTTACTACAGGGCTCCAATCACTGACACGTCCAGAAAGGTGACTGGCTTGACTTGGTTTGCTTCGAACACAAGCTACGTAAGTGTTCCCAGGCACAAGTCTATCATGTTGGAGGAGGATGTGGGAGGCATTTGAGACCCAGAAACTGGAAGATTCCTGACATATGGATATATGAGAGAGAGAGAGAGAGAGAG